ATATTATTAAATAAATAAATAAAATTAATATCATAAGTACAAATAAATAAAACGAATGAATAAAATACATAATATAATTAAAAATGATAAAACTTCTTCAAAAACTTGCTGCATTTAACAATTTTTAATTTGCTTGTTTTTAATTTGTTATTTATACCTTAGTCTCAAAATTAAGAATATGTTATATGCAAGCTATTTTTTAGGTTGGATACAATGGATATATATAGTAATATTTAAAAATAAAAATCCAAAAAATGTTAGAATTTTAAAAAATGCAGCAAGTTTTTAAAGAAGTTTTACTATTTTTTATTATATTATGTATTTTATTCATTCGTTTTATTTATTTGTACTTATGATATTAATTATATCTATTTATTTAATAATATGTAAAAATTATATACAATTAATATATGTGTAGCCATCTTTAAAAATAAAGGTAAAAAAAATATTAGAATTCTCAAAAAAAAAAAGTTTGAATTCCCAAAAAAAATGCAATAGGCTTCTTGAAGAAGCTTCAATAAAGTTAACGGAAAGATAACGGAGAAATAGATGGAAGTGACGGACGGTAAGCCCAACAAATGGAAGTTACAAAAAGGGGCTATTTTCTTCCATTCTTATAGATCAGGGGCTAAAACCGTTATGTTATAAGGTGAGGGGCCAAAACCGACCAACTTATTAAGGTAAAGGGCTATTCTTAGGCTTTTGCCGCAATCTACTTACGTAACATATTTCAATTTCCATCAACGAATTTGAAATAGAAAGATTGTAGGGACCGTGCCTTGGGGTCCCCCAAGGCATGAGGCAGTCTCTCCTCTCTGTCTCTCTTCCCATTGTGGCTCACGTCTCAGTTGAGACTCACGTGGGAAGACCAGCGTTGGAGGCGTGGAGGTGGAGCTGCTCTAAAGTCTTCATTATGACTGCTTTTTCCATATTCATGTCAGTTTTGATAATGATGCGTTGAAGCTGCTCTAACCTCTTGATCTTCATTATTTCTGGTTTTTCTATTTATTTCAATTTTAATAATGGTATAATTATAATATGACTTAATATTATAAATTTATTTTAATTTTAATAATAAAGATACACTAAAATTAAATTATTTTAATAAAATTTCATTGAAAAATACTAAAGTATCTTAATTGTTAAAGTAAGGATAAGATTGTTTTAATATTTTTTTCATTGTATTTTATTAAAATGATATAATTTTAGAATATTTTTTTGCTTAATTTTTTGTAGTATAGGCTGATATTCACTAATTTCTTAAGATATATCACTGAATAAATAGATATATATTATTAAATAATAATGTAGTTATAATGTTATATAAAATTATAAATTTATAATCATGATATATAACAAAATAATTTTATCTAAGGACATATAATAATAAGTAATTATTGAGTAACAAATATTATTTTTAATCTTAAAAAAGAAAAAGTAGACTTCTATTTTAATTGTAAACATCAAGTGTTAATTTTAAGTTGGTCGATTTTAAATTAAAAATTAGAATTTGTCTTTTTAATTTAAAATTGAAATTATTTAGTATAGATTTAAAGTGTATTTATTATATTTATTCACTATTAAATGAAAAAATAAAAGTTAATTTTAATTTTATCAACCATTCAATTATATTGTTTTACTTGATAAAGTTTATTTTTATAATTTTTTATACAAATTAATAATAAAAAATTCAATAAATATATCCTCAATATATACCCTTATAATACAAATTAAAAAAATCCTTTAAAATTTAACATTTAAGAAAAATAATTAATCATTACTAAATAATTACTCCTTAATTATGTTCTACCCTTTAGGCACAATTATGTGAAATAATTTAATTAAATAGTTGATAAAATTTAAGTTTTTTATAATTTTTTATACAAATTAATAATAAAAAATTCAATAAATATATCCTCAATATATACCCTTATAATACAAATTAAAAAAATCCTTTAAAATTTAACATTTAAGAAAAATAATTAATCATTACTAAATAATTACTCCTTAATTATTTCTACCCTTTTAGGCAAAGGAGCAATGCTAGGGGCACTCGCTTTTGGCACTCTCCTGTGAACACTTTCTCTTTTATTGGGCCACGTTTTTTTGGTTCATGATTACGCGTGAAAGCTTGAAAGAAGCTTACGTGACCCAATCAAAGGGGAAGTGTTGGCCGGAGAGTGGGAAAAGCGAGTGCCCCTAGCATTGCTCTTGGGCACAATTACATGAGAAAGAAATATAAGTTACTATAAATTATAATTAGATTCCTAAGTAAAAAAAATTAAATATAAAATAGCATAAAGAAAAAGAATTAAAATATTTTGATATTAAAAATATTAAAACATTTAACAATAATCATATAATATATAAAATATGACGTGAATCTTATTTTATTAAATTTATTATATAATTATTATTAAATATCATAATATTTTTAGTAACAAGATATCTTAATTTTCATTATTCTCAATAACACATTGTTTATAAATTTTCAATGCGATCGCTACATTATAATTGCTGTTATATCATTTTAGCTAAATTTTCAATGCCTCTCGAAAACTACCATACCCGTCGCAGTGAAAGTAGGGCCCATTCTTCCTTTTGACCAAGGCGAGTAGCGTAAAGGGATTTGCTTCACTTCAACACCGTCAGAAAATCGTCGCAAAATCACAGCATTAGATGATAATTAGTAACAAATTTACAGACCAACGACATGCTTGTGGGAGTTGAAAAAATTTGATTTTTTTAAAATAATATTTTAAATTTAAATTTTGTAAATGAAAAAATAAATGTTAAGAGAGTTTCTTTTAAATGAAATTTGATGTAATTCAATTTTAAATTAATCGAAACCTAATATGATTATTGAAAATCGAAAGATTAGTATCAAAAAAATAACAAATTTACAATTGAATATATAATATGGTATAAAAAGAAAAAAGGTTTATATTTTTGCATCTTTAAATATAAATTAAAAGTGTAATAAATATATATTTTTTATAATTAATTTATATAAAAATTATAAAAATTAATATTTATTTTAATATTATTAATATGTAAATGAATTTAATTAATTAAGTAATTAAAATTATTATTTATTCTTTTTGTATAAATTAAATATTAAAAAACACATTAATTATATTCATTAGCTTATACCTAACCACACGTGTTGGAAAAATCTAACGAGAAAATAACAGCCTCAGATTTTCTCGAAACCATAGTGGTGGCTATTAGAGTCCACCATCATCTACTTACCATATCCTTATCTATCCTTGCCCAATGATGGAAAACTCATTGTATGGAGCAGCAACACTGGTATTCGTTTTGAGACTTTACACCACAGTCGTTGTTATCATCACCATATCCATACCTATCCTTAATCACGGCCATCAAAAAAGTTTACAACTCATCCAACGGGTCAGATCTTTACATGTGGTTTAACTTGGATAGCAGACGATTTACAAAACACCATCAACTAGACTGTAGTGGTGATACACGCAACTTAATCTAATGTTTTAAAATTTTACCGCTACGAAACATCCCTGTGGGAGAAAAACCATGAGAAAATAATTAGCCATGTTTTACCGGCT